ATGAAAAGACAAGGAGATACAGAGATGCTGCAATTCTCCTCAGGTCCCAGGGTACTGTCCCCACATGTGCTGCTGTTTGAGGATTGCTCTGTGGTGGAGGCGGTGGTTTACATGCATGTGGAGACTCACGCTTTCTCCAAATGGGAACTGGAGATGGAGAAAAGGTGAGAAGAAAATCATCTCTCAAGAAACATTCAGAATAGTGCTTCCCAATCATCAAGGAACAGACCATTTTTTACAAAGGAGCCTTTTTAATCCTCTAAGTCAATAGTGCAGCTATGAGTACAAAGAGGTGAGGGGGTGGGCAGCCACTAGCAGATGGTGCACGAGGGACCAGTTCCTTTCTGACCACTGCAAGTCTCACGTGGGGGCTGGGGGCTGAAAGGGCACACGTGGGGGCACCTTTGGCCCAGCACTGGCTGGCATCCTGCAAGCTGGTGAGAGGCCAGCCTCCCCGGGGCCTCCACCTGGGTCCTGGATCTCTCACCATGGGTGGTTTTGTTATCTGCACCTGAGCCTCTGTCACCTTGTCCCCAGGCCACAGCAGCTCCTCAGTCCTGCCTCCCACCTCTGCTTCGACACTCTCCTCTCTGGCTAGAACTCATGGGTCCCAGGATTCTCCTTCTCCATCCACGTGCTTTGGAGTCACACAGATCTGGGACTAAATCTTAACTCACACACTCATGAGACACACAGGCCCAGCAAGTAACTGCACATATCTGAGCCCACTTGCTCATTATTGAAACAAATATAAATAACATCCGTGTCGCAGGCTGTTCAAACTGACACCTATTAGGTACTCAGGCTATTGTTACTGTTGATGAGGTGTCTGGCTGGCTTTCCAGGACGTTCCTGACCAAGACGCTGCCTGTCAGCATACGCTCCTTAGCTCTTTGCAAGGCGGTGGCTTTCCATGTTTGACTCAGCCACTAAGTGCCAGCACCCAGCCCTAGCCTGGGGACAACTGTGTTCCAGATCCTCAGTTAATGACACATCCATCCCTTGCTCAATGCCAATCAAGCCTCCTCTCCCTTGGAGGGATGGAGGGCATGGAATCTTAATCAGTATCTTGAGTGTCTGGTGCAACAAGCTGATCAATGACCATGGACACAATTTCACCAAGTTCAATTCACGGCTATCTGCAGCTTCTTTGCCCTCTAGCTTTCCATCCAAACTGTAGGCAGAGTGCTCTTTTTAGAACATTAACTGGCTCACAGCATCGCTCTACTTAAAACTTTTCTCGTCTTCCCACTGCCAATAAAGTGAAGTCCTAGGGTGTTAGGATGACATTAAATCGGGTCCTGACCTAGACTTCCAGACCCACCTCTTCCCGCTCTCCCTCCACCCTACTTTAGGTCACATAGATCTACCCGTGGTTCTGCAAAGAGGCCAGGAGCTCTCAGGCCTCTCTGCTTTTGCATATATGCAGTTTCTTTCACTGCAGACAGCCTTCCTTCCAATTCCAAGTGGACTGGCTCTAATGTCATTTCTTCTGTAAACCTCTCTAATCCTTTAAAAGTGTTAACTGCTCCGTCTGTATCTGATGTATGTCATAAACACTTACATATTTGTATTAGTATATCAGAGTTTCCTTGTCTGTATAGCTGCAGAAACCAGATCTTATTCAT